TTGATCTTAGAATGAACTGGCATATAATTATATTTTTAAACATCTTTTCTTAGGCATTTATTAAATAACATCATACTCATAAATAGCCTTTTATTATTTGGTGTTAATGACCCAAAGTACCACTAACACCGCATTTCTCAAACTCGCCTATCATAGGAGATACTTGTTAAGAATATTCTGGGATTTCATCCTCTTGCTGTTGAATCAGTCTATATGAAATAACACAGTTGAGTTATTTTCTTAGAATATCAGAACTGAAAGGAATGTTGGTCATTAAGCTAGTCCAGTTGTTTGCAGACCTGGTGAGTATTTTAATACAGGGCCCTGGTCCCGTTCCATTCATACCTGTTGCATCCCAGCCCCTGAGCCAAGGGCTTTAAGTGTTTCTGTTTTCAACACACTTTCTGGAAGATTCTGATCATTGGTTTGGAGTGATAACTACTCATCTGTTCAGACTCCTTCAGGAAAGGAAAATTGACTTAATGTGCTCGGTTATTGGGCTAGATAACAGAACAAAGAATCCTCTTCTGCTTATCTACTGATTTATTCAAATAATATTTACATCTCAGGTACTGACTAGGTAGGTGAGTGTGGGCAGTTTCGAGATGAGTGAGCAGGGTCCCTGCCCTTGAGAGTGGATTGTTACTCAGCCTTTCTCAAGGGATGAGTTTGGGGGTGGCATGAGAATCATTTGGGGAGGCTTTTCAAGCCCCAGCACAGATGTGTGCCTGTGTGTTGGGGCCAAGAACGTATGGGGGCCAGCTCTCCTTCCCTTGCTGGATGCTGGCCATCCTCCATTTGTCTTTATCTTACAACTTTGTGAACTATTTTAAACATCTAGGAAAACACAGAGGCTAATAATTAGCACCCACATGACCCCGCCAGGTTTTAACAGATGTCACTCATCTTGCTCTAAGCCTTCTTGTGTTGGAGGGTCCCTTTCCTTCAAGAAGTCTGCCTCCTGGCCGGGCTGATACATGCAGGTCCATCTACCCTATAGAGGAACGCACATTGCTGCCGCTGCACGCACCCCCCCCCTTACATAAATGTTGTCAGTTAACATAGGTATCATTCTGCAACTTGATTTTTTTTAAGTCAGCATTATGTTTTTGAGATTTATCCATTGTTGTTACATGACCTGAAGTGACCGCATACTTAACAGTAAAATCAGGAAATTGAAGCCAGACAGCTTGAAAACCTTCTTAATGGAAAAAATTCAAGAAGATGTGGGTGGGAGAGAGTTTCTGTTGAATTTTTACTATAGAACATTGTTATTTATGGGAAAATAGTTGATTTAAATTACGTACTGTTTTGAATAGCCCAATATGAGCTTAATGAGAATTAATTGCATGTTGTATGAAAAGTTAATTGCTTTTATTTACTGTGGGTATAGCTATTGCAGTTTGGTCTAAACAGGTGAAAGTTAAGATTTGCGGCATAAAACAGGAAGCAGATGGGGGCTAATTAAAGTTCTGTTGTTGATAAAAGGATGACTGATCAAGGAGCAGCTGGTTTCCCAATTTAAATGCAATTTGTACTGTTGTTTGAGGGCAGCCCTCTGCAAGCTATCATGAGTATCTTTTCAAAGGTGGAGGAATTCGTTTCAGCAACAAGTGGCAAGGCTGTTGTGCTCTATTTTTGTTCACCTTTTTGCCTTCAAGCGGTGTCTCTTCAGGGTCTGTCCGGGATGAGGGAAGGGATCACAAAACCCAGCCACAATTTTCAGTGGTGCTCCATCCACTCTGGATACCTGTTAAACCTTGGGAAAGCCTCAGTCCTCTTCTGTATTCTCCAAGAAAGTGCCCTAGCATTTGATTGAATGTTGCCTTTCTTGTTATTTCTCCCACCACGCTCTCCTGGCCATAACCCAGGAAGGTCCATGTCTCCCTAACTGAAGCGCTGTGTGTGTACGTGAGTGCCAAGAGGTACAGTTGGCTTGTACCTCGTGTGTTTGAGCTTCAGGCTAAACTTATTTTGCTTGATTGTGCCCTGGATGACTTTCACCTTGAAATGACAGCATCTTTTGTTGCTACTGCTAATAATGGTTGGATAAACATTAAGACCCAGTACCCTGGGTGTGTTTTGCCTAAAGAATAAATCAGCACTGGGTGCTTTTCGAATTTGTGCAGGGAGGTAATGTGAGGTCAGATGAAGTTTAGCCTTTGCCTGTAGTCAGAGGCTAGACATTTGCTTGACATTTTGTACTTATAAGTGCTTTTTGTGTGATTATCTAATTTTAATCCTTATAAAAACCTCTCTTGTAGTGGCAACTATTATTCCCACTTTGCAGATGAGGCAGTTGAAGCATGGAGAGTTTAAGTGACTCAGCCAAGTTCATGCATTTATTAAGTCCCAGGACTGGGTTAGAATTTGGGTTTGTCTGATAACAAGCCCATGTTCCTCAACTGCTGTACCCTACCAGTTTTGTGTAACACTTTTGTTTTTTCCGCTTCCTGCTTAAGGAAAGAGCTGTTGTTTCCTGGAAATACAAAAATCTTAGGATATGGTTTGTGAACTTCATCTTATTTGATTATGTAAATGTGTGTGTGTGTGTGTGTGGTGTGTATCACATTGATACAGGTCCTGGCGCTTGGTAGGAAATCAACGTTACGTTATTTTAATTTTTTGAATGAATGCCTGAAAGAATAGGCATAGGTATTTTATTTGTCCTCCACCCCCACCCCCAAAGAAAGTAGCTTTATTCTGATTATAAAAGTTATACATGCTCTTTCTTTTAACAACAGCAAAAAAGACAACATGTAAAGGTAAACTAGAAAGTGAAAATCCCCATTACCTTCACCATCCAGAGACATTATATTCATTAAAGTATCTTGTAAAAGAAATAATTGGCGATATAGATCTTATGTAACTGGTAATAAAGAGCACCATTTGTATTAGCTACAAATCCTAATAAAAGCGTGCAGTAGATGTTTCAGGGACGTCATAACTGACATTCTTTGTCAAATGTTGTATGCAAACTTTCCAGTTCTAGTCACTATTTTTGCCCAGCCTGGTTCTACACTAGTTTTGCTACTCCCCATGCTAATGGGAGAGACTGTTCTGTTTCATGTCCCCAGAAACCGTCCCTCTGCTCACATCACAGTTCTTACAGTGTGAGGAGTGGTGTCACAGCCAAAATTCGAGTGTTTTCCTGATCCAGGAGAATGCTCAGGATTCTTTGTTATTTGTTTCATTCAGCTGTCTTCTAAGCAAATCAGCCTACTACATTCCTCCCCTGTTTCCTCTAACCCCTTCTCTTCTGCTTCCTGTGTCTTGTCTGTCTCTTCCTCTCCCAAAAGCATTTAGGGAGGTGGAAGAGATTTGGAAATGAAATAAGAGTGGGCCCATTCTTCTTCCCTGGTAGCCTCATGTATTTTTTTTTTTTTTTAATTGTGTTTATTTGAGAGAGAGAAAGAGCACAGGGCGGGGGGGGAGCAGAGGCAGATGGATAAGCAGAGTCCCCGCTGAGCAGGGAGCCCAACCCGGGACTCAATCCCAGGACCCTGGGATCATGACCTGAGCCGAAGGCAGATGCTCAACTACCGACTGAGCCACCCAGGCTCCCCTACCTTGTGTATTTTGGAAGATACTGTTGCTGTTCACTCTGTGATGTTTGGGGGAGGGGCCTATGCAAGACCTGCTTTATACGGAGCAGTCTGACCTGGTTGGACAGTCTGTGTCTCCTTCGTTCTTCAAAGAATAAGAGGTATGGTTCATAGAGCACCTGGGCTTTCCAGGGTAACTGGGAGAATAAACTGGTTCTTTGGTAGGAAGCTTGGGGGCAGCTCTGCAGCTTCAGATTAATGACCCCTTCTGCCCTGGACACAATCCTAAAATCTCACAAATGCATAGTCCTTGGTTTGTGCTTTTTGAAGCAGTGGTATCCATTATGACTTTTCTGTGAGGCAGTTAGGACAGGCATTATTTTTTCCACTTTGTAGACAAGAAAGCTGAGACACACAGGATATAAAATTTGTCCAAAGTGCTACATACAAAGACAGAGTTATACTTAGGTCTTCCTTTTCATCACCATCTTGCCATTGGGGCAGTATTTTCCAAAGTGTGTGCCACTAAACGCTGGTTTCACAGCAGAGTTTGTCAAGAATCATCACAGGTGGGTGTGTGGGGGTGTGTGTGTGTGTGTGTGTGTGTGTGTGTGTGTGTGTGTGTGTTTAAGCGGGGGATACATGTTACCATACCTACAAAACAAAAAGTCTACTGGAGGGTGTTTTGTTTTTGCTTTGCTTTGTGTATTAACGTGAAGAATCCTGCACATTTTTGTGACCACATGTCCCAACTGTATGTCCTCAGTGAGTTCCTGTCACCTTGAGAGGAATCATGGTTGTTTGAAGCTCATGTTCAGGATGCTTCACTGTGCTGTTAATGTGCTGCTTTGTCCTGGGTTTACTTTGGAGGTGTTCCAGGAGACCTCAGTGGTTGGAGGAAAGTCTAATCTTTGGGGACCTGGAGGGAAAGTCCAGGGGATGCTGTTAACATGGGCAGTGGTTGGGGATAATGCTTTGGGAATAAAGACTACCCTGGGGGTGGAGTAGGAGGCTGGCCATGCGGAATCCTTGTCGTCATGTCCTTGTCAGCAGTTCAGGAGGAGCTTTATGGAGGAGGGCTTTAACCAGAACACGGGAAAGTTGTTAATCAGCAGGATCAGCATTCTAGGACCAGTTGTCAGTGTCGTCAAGGTAAAGAGCCATGAACTGTAACCTGAATGACAGCTGCACTGTTTAGCGAGGATGGACTTAAGAAATTTGGACCCAGAACAGCATGCTGCTGCATCCTGGCACACGTTTGACAAGGCACATTCCCTGGATGAAGCCATCTGCATCAACATGCCTACCCTCCGCTTTTCTTTAATATTTAATATTCAACTTTGCTCTTGTTACTCTTACTAGATTGGCTAATTTGGGGGGGGGTTGATGATAAAGGTGCAAGTGGCAGATTCTGCAGCCATCTCATTAATCAGCTTTCCTCTTTCCTTTTTGCAGAAGAACTTCTAACAAAACTCTTTTATTTTGAAGTAAAGTGTTCAACCAGGGGGAAATGATGGATTATTTTGCATTGAAATCGCCGACCAAGGAAGCAAGTCCAGCTTCTTAGAACTGATCTTGGATATCACACTTGATTTTTTTTTTTTCTTTCCTTTTCTGTTCTTCTTTTCTGCCTTCCTAAGAGCAAAGGATCTACCTGCTTTCATCTTAAGCTGTTCCAGGAATTGAGTGTAAATCAAACGTTACAGTACAGTAGTATTTTAAAATCAGAAGATTAGAAACCCTGAATTAATTGGAAGTGTTTTGTTTGGTTTTGTTTTGGTGGGGAGAATAAAATGATCTCAGGAGGAATGACTGGGAGAAGGTGCTATGAAAAAGTTGGGAAAGTTAACAACCTAAGGCATGATCTTTCCTCTCAGCAAGTGTTCTTTAGCTGTCCCTCCAGAAAAGTGATCAGAGAAAGCATGACGCTGTGTCACCTAAGTTTTATAAAATGTTTGAACTATCTGCTATTGTTTCTTTGTTTGCTAGTAATGTTGTGACTTTTCAACCTGATTGTAAACTGGGTGGCACTAATTTACTTTGGGACAGAAAGGAAAGGAGGTAGGAGGCAGGTAGAGGCCAGGGCTGTGTCATGGAAGAACAAAAGTCCGTGGGATTGGCCAAGGGTGGTTGGGTTTATGCCCACCAGCATATGCTTTTACAATCAAATTCTGATGGGATAATCAACCATTAAATATTAAGTTCCCAAGATTTAGACCTTCCTTTGTGTGTGTGTGTGTGTATGTGTGATACCTTCCATGAGGGTGGGAGGGAGTGTTGTGTTGTGTGGGGGACAGTTGGGGAGCCAGATGCCATCTCAGCTTATCCTCCCATCACTGTGGTCCAGCTGTAATGGGCCATTTTTGGCCCTGGATTTCATATGCACCCACCAGAGCACTGACTTAAAACTAGTGAATAATTTGTTGTAGCTTTATCCATGTTTATGTCAAACAGTCCATGGTTACATTGTAGGGCATTATTTCCTTTAATTTCCCTTTAGCAGTTCAAAACAACCTGAAAGATGTTATGGTTGAGCCCAGACAATGACCTCAAGAAACAAAAATAAACCTTTCAAAAAGTGAGAACTGAATCTGTATGCCAAATGTTGTGAACGATGGATGAAGGTATAAAAACACACTGGACTTAACGAAGGGAGAGTTTTAAAAAATTTGTTTTGAAAACAAATGGTCCCTGCCCCCGGATCCTGCCCTCCTGTGACTAGGAAAAAAGTCAGAGATTATGCCCTGAGTTCTAGAACAGCCAAGTAGCATTCAAGTCATGAGACAAAAGCCAAACAGCTGCTTCAGTGTAAAACCCCATCATTTTCTGATAGATCGGGTCCTAAAGATGGCACTTGGGAGGCTGGCTCTGCACACTGGGCTCTCCACACGAGCTGTGGCTGCGTCCCCTTAGTGGATGGAACTGTGGACACCTCTCGGGGTGGGGAAGAGCAGTGCCAAAACAGCACCTCCCTGAGAGGCTTCTGCTTATCAACAAAAGTTAATACGCACATTAAAATACGGACACCCACGCATATTTACATTTTTGGACAATCAAAGAAGCCTCTGCTTTCCAAGCAGGACACAAACTCTTCTTCTCTCCCACCATCTTGTAGGGAGATCGGTTGGCACTTTCCTCCAGGTTCCACGTCGTACTTTATTCTGATCTTTGGTCTGCTCTTCTGTGTAGTACATGTCGGATGCAATATAAGCTCCTAGCTCCTAGATTTTTTTTTTAAAGTGTCTTCCCACCATATCTCCCCTTTTCTGTGTTTGAGCTCAGACACTGCCACATTTACTTCAACTTCTCTAGACATGTTCTATTAGTGCTTTAAAATATTTTTTTCTCACAAATATTTAGCTGATACTTATTGGGCACTTTGTACATACTGAACATTCAGTACAGTGACTCAATAAGATAAATACTGTTAGATGTACGTCACTGGCATAGTAGTCCTCATGCAGTATATAGTGGCAGCTGGGTTGAGTCCAGGTCTCTCTGGTTTTAGAACACATGTTCTTAGCCACCACACAGTACCCTGTCAACTTTGATTCATGTTCTGCCCTCACATTAAGAATCCCTTTCCCTTTTTATTCAGCAATCCAGATCTTCCTTTGTTGTGTTGTTGGCCGTGTATACATATACATATACATATACATATACATATACATATACATATACATATACATGAAAAACTATTGGAAACAGGAAAGAACCTCATGCTACTTTGTTGTCTCCATAGTACCTGGTATGCAATAGGGGCTCAGTAGATACTTGTTGAATGAAAATTACATTGATTGCTTTTACTTTGGCCAAGTTTCAAGACCCTAGGGCGCCTGGGTGGCTCAGTCGGTTAAACGGCTGCCTTTGGCTCAGGTCATGATCCCGGGGTCCTTGGATCGAGCCCCACATCGGGCTCCTTGCTCACCGGGGAGCCTGCTTCTCCCTCTCCCTCTGCCTGCCTCTCTGCCTACTTGTGCTCTCTATCTCTCTGTCAAATAAATAAATAAAATCTTTAAAAAAAAAGTTTCAAGACCCTAATTTATGTTACTGAAGTGAGTGTAAAATTAATTTCTGAGATTGTCAGTAGATTTAAATAGTTTACGTTAGACTGATTTCAACTAGGCTTTGCTCAATTTCTTGATTAATTTTGGATGGAGTTTTCAATGACAAAACAAAGGTAGAATTTTATCTTTTGTTTGTATTCCCAATAAAGGTGACTGATTTCAGGTCCTATGAGACCCTTCCTTCTTGGTACACTGTCTTCCTTCCCCTCCGGACCCCAGCAACAAAGCAGTGCCCTGACACTGGGCTGGACTAGGATTGACTGAGCATGTTCTAGTCCAGCCCTGATTCACCCTGTGGTCTCTTTAGAACACACACACACACACACATACACACACATAACCCAATCTAGAAAACTAGGTTTTGTTCTAAAATTGTGTGATACTCTAGCTTAATTTATAGCTACTTTGAGGACTAAAATGGTTATACAGTATATTGGTGTCTGTCTCTATTGTTAATAGAAATGTATTGTGGACTTTAAAAATGGTTAAAATGTAAAATTTATCTTCTGGGGCTAGGGTTGCACTGTGAAGAATGACTATTTCAAACTTTGTTCAATCCGGTAACAATTCTAAGCTATCCATTACATTCTTAACTAGGTTGTCAGAATTTGACTAAATTGCTTGCTGAATTGGATCCGGATATCTGCAGGATGCTTGGAAACAGACCTGGCTTGGGCCCCAGTCTCCCATGGCAGGGGGGGATTTTACTTTATCATGAAGCAGATGGGCCCAAGTGGTTTTGCTGTTAGGTTTTGGGATTAGGTCAGCCAGTGATTTTTTTTTTTTTTTTTTAAATAGTTATTTGATCTGGGACAAGAGTTTTTGGGAGGTTGCCCCCAAACAAAAAACAATGTATGCTTAGCATTCACAAATCATTGTTGCTTTAGGCCCCTTAGCCAGAGTATTGGGCAAACAAGCCAATTTCAAGATTCTGTATAACTAAGGGAACTTTATTTTGCAAATAATACGTAATTCAGCATATTAAATTTTCACAGTTTCTTTCCATTCTTTTTGTAATCTGGATCTGTGGTATTTGAGTTCCAAAACAGAAAAAAACCACTTTGGCTTCATACTTTTAAATTCTGTTTACTAAGAGTAGCAGTTCTTGGCAAATAGATTATGCATTCGGTAGATTCATTTTTCCCTAGATTTTCCAGACAGTGAACATATTTAGGGTAAAAAACAATTCTAGATCGTACATTCTATGGATGGGATGTTGTCCTAGAGATTTTATTTTTTAAAAATATTTTATTTATTTATTTGACAGAGAGAGCACAAGCAAGGGGAGCGGCAGGCAGAGGGAGAAGCAGGCTTCCCACGGAACAAGGAGCCTGATGTGGGTCTTAGTCCCAGGACCCCGGGATCATGACCTGAGCCCAAGGCAGACGCTTAACCCCCTGAGCCACCCAGGCACCCATATCCTAGAGATTTTTTTTTTTTTTTAAAGATTTTATTTATTTATTTGAGAGAGAGAGAATGAGAGACAGAGAGCATGAGAGGGAGGA